TGTACTTGAGAGAGGGTATTTTGGGTTTTTTTGCCCTATAACTCCAAATGTATTTGAAGAAGCAAGCCATTCTGCAAGCAGCTGTTTTTGTTAAGATACTGTGACTGACAAAGAGTAGTTTTCAGCTTCCTACAGTCCTTTTCTTATTTTGATGGATGGTAGAGCTTTCTCATGAACATAAAAAGTACTTTTCACAGGTTTTTCTACCACCAAGTGCATGGGAAGTTGTGTTATCTGACAGAATCTGACTCTCGTAATTCTCAAGACATAGGTGGGATTTGAATCACTACAATGCTACTTTTTTCTCTTAGTCAAAGGCTTTGTGTTCATTTGTGAAAAGCTTGAAAGTAGGAAAAAGGCAATAGATTGAATTTGGGAGGTTTTATAAATGCTCTGCAACTTTTTCCTTTGTCTGTTATCAACTTTTTGATGCAGATGTAGTTCCAAAATGTCATTGGCCATTTCCTTCCCCTGCTGCTTTTTGGCTGCATTTTCAAAGGCAGTAAATGGGAAAAGGGAACTGGAAGATTCATAAGTGTAGGATCACTTATTTCAGTGGAGGACTACTTTCCTATTGAATCACTTGCTATTTTTTTTAACTTAACACAGTAAAAAACCGAATGAGAATGACATTATTTTTTAAGACTATAAAGAAACTGTGAAAGAGGGACTCCGAAGCTAGCATAAATGAGCCTTTTCTACAGTCTTTTAAATATTTTAATTTTGTGTATATGGAAGGTTCGGGGAGAGTATTTACATGATTTACAAATCTTGGATACATGGTGCAGTTTGGGGGACATAGCCTGCTCAGCCAAATGATGGCAGATGTCATAGGTATGACATATGTAGAGTCCTTCATGACATAGTTCTAATACTTTGTACTAGTATGTGGAAAATATGACCCTATGATGAGATTGAAAAAAGGAGGGCTTAGGGCACCATTCCCTTGCTAGGGTAGTATGAAGAATTTTTTTTTCAGGTCTAGGACAGTTTGTGGTGTGTTACAGATTTAGTGTGATAGAGTATCATCTCCTCTTCCCCTTGTGTTACTTAGCTGGCCTAGGGAAAGCATTGGAATCTTTGTACTTGCAGTCCCTGGTTTTCAAAAGGACAAGAATCTCAGGTGATTACCTGCTCTGCTGGGCGAGTCCCTTCCCCATCCAGCCACGCTTTAAGGTCTTTATCTCCTGAAAAGATGAAAAAAGCAAGTCTTAGCAAATGTCTGAACCAAATTTTGGTCCCCCTGAAATGTCAGTTAAAGTATCTTGGCCTATAACTAAATTTGGGTCTCTTGAGGAATGCACGTGCTACCTAGTGGAGGTTTGTTATCACCAAGTGTTGTGCATATAAATACATTATTGTATTCTAAAGTTATTTTCAAAAAGCACCATGTTCTTAGTGTTCTTCTCTTGTATTCCATAGATAACATACATATTAAATTACTGGGTCTCCTCATCTATCGTACTGATAGAAAATGCAGATTTTTTATATTGTATGCTTTGTTTAATGTAAGCAGCAGTTTCTGGTAAGGTAGCTTCGCTATGCATTTGCATTGTTATAGAATTAAATTGTGGATTCTGTGATTCAAAAGAAAATGATTTATAAATCAAGTAAAATCTCATAACTAAGATGAATAAGTTTCTTGAAATCTCATGCTACCTCATATTCCATACTTTAGTTTTATAGCTCAACTTGATGTAATTTGTAAAGTGCAATTTTTTTCTGTTTCTGTGTACTGATTTTGCTTTGTAAAAAAATCTCATTAGTTTCCCAAGAAAATGCTTAAGAATAGCTGCTACATTTAAGGGACAGTAACAAGAAAGCAAAAAGTTGTGTTCATTTTTTTCCTATGGGACAGTTTTAAAAAAAACTGCCAGATACGGTATGCTTGCTCCCTCTCTTCTCTTTTTCTGATTGCGTTAATGTAATTGACATTAAAACTCTCTAAATTATTACAAACAGTGAAATACCAATTATTATTTTTCTTTATTTTTAAAGCTAATCTGTTGTTTGGAATTCTTGAATATGAAACAATCCTTTTATAGGGGAATTTTTAGTTTGTTGTTTTTGTTGGATTTTTTTGTTTGCCTTCTGTGGTTGTGTGCACCAATTGTTTAAACAAAGCTACCTGGGTGGCTTTGCAGTCCTACTCAACAGCTGACTAATTTCTTTTCTCACTGCTGCTGTATAACTGCCCCAAAACATAGGAATTGGCATAATGGCCCGGAGTGTGAATATGTAGCACGATGAAAGCTAGGCAGAGGAGAAGGAAGGTCAGCAGTAGGTATTTAGACCTTTTAAGTGGGCAAGATCTCCCTCTGCAGCTGCAAATGGTCATGAAAAGGACTGAAATTCAGAAGAGAGATCAGAGTAGAGATAGAGATTTAACATCTGAACAATTACAGGGCGGATGAATTTGAAACAGCCTCACTTCTCCAAGGTAAAGAGATGAGAGAAGAGAGCAAAGGATTTAAACTTGAGCCTTGTGGAAATCTTTAATGTTATTGTGTGGGATGAGGAGGAGGAAGCCCAAAGTTAGAAGTATAAAGTAGTATGCCTGATGGTAGAAGTCACTGTGTGCCACACCTCTGGACAAGTGAATTTTGAGCCAGATAACCTGTTATGTGGGTGGAGGGTGGAGGATCTAGGCACTGAAATCCCTGTAACAGTCATTCTACATGATATGAAAAATGTGAAATAAAGCTTATGTTTTTGGTAGGTGTACATTCATGGGGAAAAGACTCCCACTTTTGTGATTTTTTTTTTTTTTGCACATGCAGATTTCTTTAAATGAGCTGGAATTACAACTAGGTTACTTATATGAATTCAAGAGGTTTAAGTTAATACCATTCTCAATTCTTGCTACCTATAAATTCTTCCTTTTCAAGGAATTACAAAGACATAAAGGTACATTGAAATGTTCAGTTTTGTAAATCATTTTTAATTTAATTAATCAATTGAAGCCAATTGTGATGTTACCAGCAATCCCAGCACTTTGGGAAAATGAAGCAGAAGGATTGCAAGCATAAATCTTACCTGGGCAATTTCATGAGATGCTGTCTTAAATAAAATAAAAGGGACTGGGCTTGTAGCTCAGTGGTAAAGCAACCCATTGAGCTACAACTGAATTCAATCCGCAGTACCACAAAAATGAATGCATGAATGAGTAAATAAATAAATGAATGGATGGGAGAGAAAAGAGAAAAATGACAGTGTATCTTTTAATTTCCAAACTAAATTTTAGGCTATACTCAGGTTCTTATCAAGGGAAGTAAAACAATAGAATCTCCTGGTCTGAATGATTGAATATGTTTAAACAGGTACAGAGGGTGCAGTTGAATAGGACATAAAACTTCAAACATTCTACAGCACAGTAGGGTGGCTATGATTGACAACAATTAACTGTATATTTCAATGTAGCTAAATGATGAATGTTTAAGGTGATAGACCAATTACCCTAATCTGATCATTGCACATTGTATCCATGCATGAAAATGTCACTGTAGTCCATGTATATGTACAATTATGTCATGAATTTTTTAAACATTTTTAAATTAATGACCCCCCCCAAATAAAAGACAGCAGTTGCTGTGCATTTGGGTTTTCAGTGAAATTATAGGAATGCTTTCATAGCCGGATAACTAAATATGAAAACATGGTTGCAGAAACCATTTAGGAATTGTGGTAGACCTAATCTCAATGACATCATCATTATCTGCTGTTTGTGGTGCTTATGATTTGAACACAATATGAGATGATATGATTTTATAGTAAGAACTAGTCCAGTGACATTATTTGCTACCTTATAATAAACCATGTTAGCATTTAGGTGATACCAAGGATATGTTTGATTCCACTGAATTTATGTTATCCTATCATTTTGAACGTGCTTAAATCATTATGAAAACATTCAGAGTTATGAGGATCCTGTACTTGGTCTCAAGTATCTAAATAACTAAAGGCCATTGCCTCTGGATTCGGAAAAACAACTTGGCTGCCGGACATAGGAATTCATTATTGGTTAGCAAATGTCAGTGGATCTCAGGATTTCTCACATTCTATAGGTTGGGGGAAAAGCTTTGGGGCCTAGATCACCCCAATTAATGGAAATCAACAAATCTATATATATTTTTGTTTTAATGTTGAAATAGGATCTCACTATGTAGTTCAGGCTGGCTTTGGATTAGTGCTGGCTTTGAATTCATGGTGATCCTCCTGCCTCAGCCTCTGCAGTTCTGGGATTACAGGCATGCCCCACCACACCTGGCAACATTTATGTATTTATGTGTGCATGGTTATTAAATACCTTCCCTGAATGCTCTTGATTAATGACTTAACCGTTTGCTCTGACTATCACTCTGACTATCCCAAGGGTTGCTCGGGCAAGTATCATTTAAACCAGTCAATAGACTTGATAAAATTGTCATTTTTATATTTCCTGTTATATTATCCAATAAAAATTAATGAAAAATGAAATTTTTGGTCATCCTATATTTAAATAATTGGTCCAGTAAGAGGTTAATTGTACATTTGGCGAAATCTGGGTCTTACTTAATTTAAGCATGCATGGATTTACAGCTCACATTGATTTATTCAATTTTGTAATTTTTATTTAAATTTTATGATATACTAGTCCTAATATTTTCTGTTATGAATGTAAATTTGGTGCATGTGAAAGTAGTGCAGAATAGTAAAGATGAGGTCAGGAAAAAGACCAAATGGCTCTAATTTACTCCTAGTCTTGTCACTTTTTAGCTGAATGTCCTTAGGCAAGTCACTTAGCCTCTTTTAGTCTCCGTTTTCTCACTTGCATGAAGGTTATAAGAGTATCAATTTTACAGGGTTGTTATGGAGCTTAAATGAACTAATTCATTTAAAGGGCTTGTGACAGTTAGATGACAGGCCCATGATAAGAGCCTAATGAGTAAGCTCTTGTATTCTTACTCATCTCTGCTCTTTAGAAACGCTAAATGAAAATTTGGCTTATTTTTTGCTATTAGGGTCGGTGTACTCGAGAGAACTGCAAGTACCTTCACCCTCCTCCACACTTAAAGACTCAGCTGGAGATTAATGGACGTAACAATCTGATTCAACAGAAAACTGCAGCAGTCATGTTCGCTCAGCAGATGCAGCTCATGCTCCAGAACGCTCAGATGTCATCCCTTGTAAGTGACAGCCATGTCTTTGAAAATTGCCAGTGTGTTCAGGGGTGGGGGGGTATTTTGTTATGTTTTGCTTTTGCACTGCTGGGGACCAAACCCAGGGCCTCCCACATGCTAGGCAAATGCACCCCATTGGGCTATACACCGAGACCTGGGTTTTTAATTAAAAGCATATTTATCTACATTGGAATAACCTTGCAAAGCCTTGGGGAAGCTAGTTACTACAGGATTTAGGACACAGTTCATGTGTTAATTGACCCTTCAGAGCTGTGCTAGTGAAGGCAGCAATCAGCTGGTTGGACTGAAACCCTGGTTACATTTATTCATGAGTTCAGTTTCTGGAAGAATATTAATAAAGGAGCAAGAGCACTTTAAGATGAGGAGAAGGTTTGGCTCTTATTGGAAGTCTTTGGATTTCAGGACATTAACTTCAACAGAATTCTCTGTTATAGGATAGGTTTGTTGTTGCTTTGTACTAAACTTTTTATTTTAAAATAAGTTTTATTAGAAATATTCCAAAAGCTGTAGAGTTCCCATATTACCCCTCACTCCGTTTCCCCCACTGCTTTTTGTTTGTTTTTGCCATGCTGGGGATCAAATTCAGGGCCTTCCTTGTGCTAGGGAGATGGTCTACCAAGGATCTATACCCACAGACCTCCCTTACTGTCTACAGATTCTATTACCGTGATTTATCAGAACCGAGAAACTGACATTCACATATTACTATTAACTTGAGTTTACTCAGACTTCAGAAGGTTTTCTGTTAGTATGCCCTTTCTGTTCAGTGCCAAATCCAGGGTGCCACAGTAGGTTTATTTGAATTTTCTCCCCTCACTTTGGTCTGTGACTATTTCTCAGTTTCCTACTTCCCATGACCTTAACATTATTGAAGAACACTGGCTGGGTATTTGATGGGGGTTGCACCATAATCTAGCAGCAGAGTTTCTGTTTGCAGAAATTCATGAAGTTATGGTATCATTCTAGACAAGTGTCTAGTATTCTTGTATATCTGTGAGTTTAAATGGATCATTTGAAAAGTGATTAAGTTGTAGCTATTGATACTGTCCATTGAGAATTCATCTTGTCCTGGTACTTTAAAATGTAAAGTTACATTCTGGACTGACACATCGCAGAATTGAAAACTGTCCCTTTTCTGCCACCATTTTTCAGGTCTCAAATTTGGCATTCTAATTCCAGCTAGCGTTCTTCATTTAAACTATTAACAAGATAGATTTGAAAGAGCTATACTAACTTCACCTGTTGCCATTTCATCAATGACTAGGTAATAAACTCAATGAAAGCTAAAAGTTTTATATGGCATTTAGATGCAATGGAAACACAAGAGTCAAATAACCTATTCTCTGCAAACATAAACACAACAGCTGGTGGGAGCAGTGATAAGTCACTAAAGTTTTGTACCATGATGCTCTTTTTCCAGAATATTTAGACAGATTTACTTAAAATAAATAGATTTCATGTCCTTTGTTGTTTTTAGTTTTCCAAAAATATTTGCCTTGGAACTCAGTACTGATTAATTACATTGCTAAATTAGTTTGATGTCACCAGTGGGCTTGTCAGAGAGCCCCTTTGACCTTCAGTAATATACATATATAATATATATATATATATAATATACGTATCTAATATATATTCAGTAATACTTTTTATATGGTCACATTCCTCGTTGAATTCCTTGAGTTTCACATGCTGGAAGATCACAGCTTCTCCCTATTTGTAAAGGAATATGGAAGAAAAGACTTCTAGATACTGAGAATAATAGGAACAAAACCACCGAGAAGTGGACATGTTTATGTCCAGAAAATGTAAGCACATGGAAAATAAACCGAGAGAGCTTTTACTTTTCCCACACTTTCTTAAGGTATAGTTGACAAATAAAGTATATATATTTAAGGTGTACAGTGTGATAATGTGAGGTATGTATACGTTATAAAATGAGATAATATGGATTAACCTGGAGAACTTTCTGCTATAAGTGAAATAGAACAAATAGAGAAAAATACTGAATGATCTTAAATATATGTAGAATATTAAGTTGAACTCACAGGGACACAGAACAGAAGGGTGGTTGTTAGGGGGTAAAGGGATGTTATCCAATGGTGACTATAACAAAAGAGCATTTAATTCACCATTACTACTCTCAGCCTCTCATTAGATGGCTCAGTTTCAAACAGAGGAAGGAATAGGAGCATGGCTTTATTGTCAAATACCTGAGCGGAGGCTACCCTATCATGCTAGAGCATAAATCTTTTCAAAGTTCAAGTGCCAACTTCAGGGCACCACCCAAATGCCCTGTCTCGGTGAGTCAGAGAGTGAGCAGGCATGTCTAACTACGGCCTGTGAGTTGGGCATACCTGGCTTGCCTGGGCCCCACTGAAAGAAGAGGAATTGTCTTGAGCTGCACAGAAATTATATGATAGAGTTAATGCACATAAGTAACAAAATATTGTTTGTTTTAAGAATATTTTTGTTATACTACTAAAGTAGAAGTGAAGAAGAAAGTCAAGAATCTACTTTCTGTTCAGGTTCTGCTAGAGTCTCTCCAGGCCAAGTCATAGTCCTGTGTGTGTTACTGATCCTGCTGGATCACACTGGGAGTGGCTTTTTTAGAATCCAATAAGAAATTCATTGAGTTTTCTAGCCTCTTGGCTTGTGCTTTCTTATTCAATTCTAAATGCTTTAACAGAATGACTTTCCTTTTCTTTTCTACAGTGAGGGTAATTTCAGATTGTGGAAAATGACTGATAGGACTCACAGGAGTACGCTTTGTTTTATGGCATGTCACAAGATACATGGCATTACTTAGAACACTCCAGGGAGCAATTAGAAATTGCCTCTCTGTCTCGTAGATTATTTAACAATAGCTGTTGTGATGTCATAAACTGATAAAAGATTAATTTCTGCAAGTATTCATATAGAAATCTAACCCTGAGTTCTTGATGTGCTTCCCCTCTGTGACCCAGAAACCTGCTTCATAGGTGTGTTTTAATTGAGCTAGTGTGAGCAGTTTTTTTCCATTAAGATTATTGGTTCATTTAAAGCAAACAATACAGTTACATTTATCATTTTAAGTGGCATTTATCAGTCTGATCTGGAAGAAATCTATTATGGGTCCTGATATTGATATTATTATAGAAAAAAATGGAATCAAAGAAGAATGTATAGTTTTATTTATCTTCCCTGGTACTCACTCTCCTATAAACAACTACAGTACAGTATATCTTTTCATCATTGCACTCAGCAATAATCGGATACTTGTTCTTAGTATCATCAAGCTTTTGTTTAAAATATTTCTAGTCCTTGTATTTCTATGCTTGCACATTAAGACCCATTTGTATCACTGGCTTGAACTTCAGGTCTTTCCAGATAGCATACTTTGGTCTGTTTCTAGGATACCAGAAGAGCACATCTGCCTTCGCAAAATTGAATATGGTTTGCTTATTATAAGCCTCTAGATAAAAGGAATGTCAACCTAAATGGTAGCTAGAGAACAAATTCTGTTCAGTGTGACTGAACAATGAATAAAAGCCACACCTAGTCACCTAGTAAATTTTGGTAGAATGCTTGCTGTAGCAAGTTTATTCACTGTATTTAACAGGTCTGTTTTGACATTTGCTAGTATAAAATTCTACCTCTGAAAGCTTCTTGTTGGCCTTATTAAGGAAATTTAGCAAGTGAAACAAAGGAAGCGACTTCACAGTATTTTTCAGAGACTATTGCTGATAGCTACATATGTATGTATATGTGTGTTCAAGAACCCCCCTTTGAACAGTTGGAGGCAAGCATGAATATTATAGAGGAATGTTAGGAAAAGTAGACACACAATTACTCTCAAGAACTACTAACAATTTTCACTTTTGCAACTAGGAATTTTAGTTGGGGGAAAAGGAGTTTAACTTCTGGGTATGACTTCATATTATAAAGTGTATATATATTGTTATAACTCCATTAAATGTTTTTATTTAGACAGTCTGCCTCTCTAGACCTGTCCATGTCTGGGAAATTTCTTTGGTTTCTCTCTTTGAATGTGGTGGTTCATATGGGCACAGATCCGGAGATATAGGTGAATTTGACCCAGTAAATTATATTCACCTGATGATTATACAGAAGGTGTTGGCTCGGCACATCTGAAGTTGTCCTGTGGTGTGCCAAGCCCTCTGGTTTGGCTATTTATTTTTCAAGGCTTTCATTCCTTGGGCAAGTTCATGGAGTCCAAACCATAAAGACTATAAACAAAGAAAGTTTTCACCCCATGGTTTTACTTTTTCTCATCATTTGATATATGTCTGGACACTGGCCTACTTCTCTGTACATCACTTTTCTTATTCTATTTACCAAACATATTTCTAAGAAATAGGATTATACATGTAGCTCACATTAGTATAGTAGGCAATGAAAGTGATGTAACAGCTCAGAACCACAAGAAAAAAACAGGAAGTTCCCATAGATAGGAGGGATTATACTATGTAATTAGTTATGTACTAGTAAACATCATTATTTTAGAGTACAGCATTTTAATGTTTACCTAAATAAAAGCTAGAAAGTTGTATATTTGTGAAAATTTGGACCAGAATAATTTTAAGAGAAAAGAAATAAAACTAGAAAATTTTTTTCTCTCACTGAGTTTATTGGTACATTTTAGGTATACAGTACAGTTACATTCATCATTGCGATCTTGTACCTTTACATGACAGGTCTTGGTTCTCATTTTTTCCCCATAACTCTACTCTCCCTTCACCGCCTCCTCCCTTCCCAATTTATAAAAAGTTTATTTCCATTTTTTCATGTTTTTCTTTTGCCTTATTTTAATTTTTGAAAATAAGTAATTAAGTGAGGTATCATTTGAAACCAAGATTACAATTTCCTCATTTTCTTCAACAAAAAAAGCAAAATATTTTGCTTTTTTTTTTTTTTTCTTTTTGGTACCAGGGATCGAACTCCGGTCCTTGCACTTGCAAGGCAGGCGTTCGCACCTCTGAGCTAAA